CAGCACACTACCACATTATCACACCACCATTTCTACATCACCCTACCACACAATCCAATTATTCTACCATACAACACCACACTACCACACAACCTCACCACACTACCACATAACCCCACCACATTATCACACCACACCACCCCACCCTCTCAACTACCACTACCACTTCCACTACCACCCCTAGCACCTCCACTACCATAACCACCAGCACCTCCACTACCACCATCTCTGCCACCATCACCAATTCCAGTACCATAACCACCTTCACTACCACCACCACACCCTCCACTACCACCACCACCACCGCCACAACTACCACCACAACAAAAACCTCCACTACTACCATAACCAACACCTCCTCTACCACCATCAGCACCTCCACTACCACCGCCAGCACGTCCGCAACCACCAACAACTCACTACCACCACTACCAATTCCACTATCACCACCACCAGCCGCACCTCCACTACCTCCACCACCAGCATCTCCACTTCCACCACCAACCCCTTCACTACCACCACCACCAGCATCTCCACTACCACCTCCACCAGCACCTCCACTTCCACCACCAACGCCTTCACTACCACCACCACCAGCATCTCCACTACCACCTCCACTTCCACCATCAACCCCTTCACTACCACCACCACCAGCATCTCCACTACCACCTCCACTTCCACCACCAACCCCTTCACTACCTCCACCACCAGCATCTCCACTTCCACCACCAACCTCTTCACTACCACCACCACCAGCATCTCCACTACCACCTCCACTTCCACCACCTCCACCACGCCTTCACTACCTCCACCACCACTACCTCCACCATCTCCACTACCACCACCAACCCCTTCACTACCACCACCACCAGCATCTCCACTACCACCTCCACTTCCACCATCAACCCCTTCACTACCACCACCACCAGCATCTCCACTACCACCTCCACTTCCACCACCAACCCCTTCACTACCTCCACCACCAGCATCTCCACTTCCACCACCAACCTCTTCACTACCACCACCACCAGCATCTCCACTACCACCTCCACTTCCACCACCAACGCCTTCACTACCTCCACCACCAGCATCTCCACTACCACCACCAACCCCTTCACTACCACCACCACCAGCATCTCCACTACCACCTCCACTTCCACCACCAACCCCTTCACTACCACCACCACCAGCATCTCCACTACCACCACCATCCCTTCACTACCACCACCACAGCATCTCCACTCCACTCCACCACCAAACCTCTTCACTACCACCACCACCAGCATCTCCACTACCACCTTCCACCACCAACGCCTTCACTACCTCCACCACCAGCATCTCCACTTCCACCACCAACCCTTCACTACCACCACCACCAGCATCTCCACTACCACCTCCACTTCCACCACCAACCCCTTCACTACCACCACCACCAGCATCTCCACCTCCACCACTTCCAACCTCTTCACTACCACCACCACCAGCATCTCCACCAGCACCTCCACTTCCACCACCAACGCCTTCACTACCACCACCACCAGCATCTCCACTACCACCTCCACTTCCACCATCAACCCTTCACTACCACCACCACCAGCATCTCCACTACCACCACCACCCTTCACCACCTCCACTTCCACCACCAACCCCTTCACTACCTCCACCACCAGCATCTCCACTACCACCACCAACCTCCACTTCCACTACCACCACCACCAGCATCTCCACTACCACCTCTTCACTCCACTTCCACCACCAACCCCTTCACTACCTCCACCACCAGCATCTCCACTTCCACCACCAACCTCTTCACTACCACCACCACCAGCATCTCCACTACCACCTCCACTTCCACCACCAACCCCTTCACTACCTCCAACACCAGCATCTCCACTTCCTTCCACCACCAACGCTTCACTACCTCCACCACCAGCATCTCCACTTCCACCACCAACCTCTTCACTACCACCACCAACAGCATCTCCACTACCACCTCCACTTCCACCATCAACCCCTTCACTACCACCACCACCAGCATCTCCACTACCATCTCCACTTCCACCACCAACCCCTTCACTACCTCCACCACCAGCATCTCCACTACCACCACCAACCCCTTCACTCCACTTCCACCACCAACCCCCTTCACTACCTCCACCACCAGCATCTCCACTTCCACCACCAACCTCTCACTACCACCACCACCAGCATCTCCACTACCACCTCCACTTCCACCACCAACCCCTTCACTACCTCCAACACCAGCATCTCCATCCACCACCAACGCCTCACTACCTCCACCACCAGCATCTCCACTTCCACCACCACCTCTTCACTACCACCACCAACAGCATCTCCACTACCACCTCCAGTTCCACCACCAACCTCTTCACTACCACCACCACCAGCATCTCCACTTCCACCACCAACCCCTTCACTACCACCACCACCAGCATCTCCACTACCACCTCCACCAGCACCTCCACTTCCACCACCAACGCCTTCACTACCACCACCACCAGCATCTCCACTACCACCTCCACTTCCACCATCAACCCCTTCACTACCACCACCACCCCATCTCCACTACCACCACCAACCCCTTCACTACCACCACCACCAGCATCTCCACTACCACCTCCACTTCCACCACCAACCCCTTCACTACCACCACCACCAGCATCTCCACTACCACCTCCACTTCCACCACCAACGCCTTCACTACCACCACCACCAGCATCTCCACTACCACCTCCACTTCCACCACCAACGCCTTCACTACCACCACCACCAGCATCTCCACTACCACCTCCACTTCCACCACCAACGCCTTCACTACCTCCACCACCAGCATCTCCACTTCCACCACCAACCTCTTCACTACCACCACCACCAGCATCTCCACTACCACCTCCACTTCCACCACCAACGCCTTCACTACCACCACCACCGGCATCTCCACTACCACCTCCACTTCCACCACCAACGCCTTCACTACCACCACCACCAGCATCTCCACTACCACCACCAACCCCTTCACTACCACCAGCACCAGCATCTCCACTACCACCACCAACCCCTTCACTACCTCCACCACCAGCATCTCCACTTCCACCACCAACCTCTTCACTACCACCACCACCAGCATCTCCACTACCACCTCCACTTCCACCACCAACGCCTTCACTACCTCCACCACCAGCATCTCCACTTCCACCACCAACCTCTTCACTACCACCACCACCAACATCTCCACTACCACCTCCACTTCCACCACCAACCCCTTCACTACCACCACCACCAGCATCTCCACTACCACCTCCACAACAACACTTTTCATTATTCTATTCATATGAACAGAAGAATGAAGACTCAAACCAAAAGATGAGGAGATGACGACGTTTCGGTCCGTTCTGGACCATTATGAACTCAATTGTGATGCAAACTAGGTTGTTATGTTGTTGTTATAGATTCAGCTACTCGTAACAAGTTCCAAGTGGCACGGGCAATGGTGAGCCCGTAACTTACCTGGCACAGGAGCGGGGTAAGTAGCATGAGCTATGGTGAGACCGTTGTGGACTTACCCGGCACGGGAGCGGTGCTATGTGTGCAAACGAGGTTGTTGTTGTTATAGATTCAGCTACTCGGAACAAATTCCAATTAGCACGGGCTATGGTGAGCCCGTAACTTACCTGGCACAGGAGCGGGGCAAGTAGCACGGGCTATGGTGAGCCCGTAGTGGACTTACCTGGCACAGAAGCGGTGCTGAATGGCAAACGAGTTGTTGTTGTTATAGATTCAGCTACTCGGAACAAGTTCCAAGTAGCACGGGCTATGGTGAGCCCGTAACTTACCTGGCACAGAAGCGGGGCCAGTAGCACGGCCTATGGTGAACCGTGGTGGACTTACCTGGCACAGGAGCGGTGCTCGGCAAACGAGGGAGGCACGGGCATTAAATAGAGCACGAGATAGGTGGAGAGAGATGAGGAGGAGGAAATGCCTAGAGGATGGTAAGAGCAAGGCGAGTGATACGATCAGTAGGAAGGGGGGAGGGAGTAATAATGTTTATAAGAATGGGAACGTAAGAATAAGAGGAGAATGAAAAAAAAAGAAATAAAAAAGATGGGAAGATTTATGTTTGGTCACGTTTGTTATAAAGGTTAGAGCATTGGAGTGTGTACTGTGAAAGGAAAGAGTCAACAGCAACAAATCAAGGTTTAAGGTTCATGTTGGGTAGGTTGTGTATCAGAGCAGATTCGAGAAGACAGTGCCTGTGAACTGCCTCTACACTTGATGTATGGATATATATCCAGACAAACGAATGAATGTATAAATTGATGGACGCATGGTAACCAGACAGGATGACCTGGGTAATGATATTTTATGTTTTCCCCCTAGAGTTTATCACTGAAACAACGTTAGAAACAATAATACAAAATTAGATTTCTATGTGGGAGACTCTAAAAAAACTAAATTTTTTTATAAACTTTTAATACAAATATCATACCAATTATTACATTTTCAGTTTTCTTAATAAGTTTGTGATACCGGGGCAACTATATTAATGCTGATGGAATGTTGTCAGAAATATTGTATAGAAGGCCTTTATTGTTTCCTATTTTATATTTAAATGTTTGTCCCACAACAAATAATATAATGACCACCAATTTTATTAGACTAGAGGCACTGGAAACATAGAAGCCAATTACAGAGTTCACATAATTGTTAAATTTGTGTATTATATGCTTACTATGTTTTGGAAGCTGCCTAATATTGTTTTAGTTACTGTTAACAGTTTATGTGATTATCTTTGTCAGTTTATACTTTTGTTGGAACAACTTACCAATTTATTAATTTTGCCTAATTGCAAACATTTTTTTTCAAAATTACCCCTAAGAATGGAGTATTTTTTATTTGGTTTGGCATAAAGTTTACTATTTTTAAGTAACTATTAAAGAAGTAAAATCATTATTATTCTTATATCTTTGGTTGTCCCACAGATGTTGGTGGGGTGGTGGCTTGTGTTCTGCCTGATAGTCACAACAGGGTTCAATTCCTCTTTGATGGCCCACCTAACTGTACAAGGCAGAACCCGGCCACTGGAGACCTTCCAGGACCTGGTGAACCAGCCTGGCTGGAGGTGGGGAACTGCTTCTTATGTGCTAACAGAAGCAGTTGTTGATTACTTTGTGAAACATCCAAATTTTGCAGTAAATCAAATATATCATAAAATGGAGGTAGGTTGCGTGTGTGTTCTGCTTTACACATATATGATCAGCTTCCTAGCACTTCGAATTCAAAATTATTACTAATGGTAATTATGTTTATGTTAATAACTTTCTGCTATTGTTTGTAAATATAAATAAATGGTTGAATAATGTATACAAGTTGAATGTATGGTTGTATGTATGGCTGAATAATCAATACAGGTTGATAGTTGAAAACGGTTGAATAATCAGTACAGTTTCCCTTAAACACTGCCAACATTCATAAGCAAATCAAACTATTAACGGTTGTCGTATTAAACACTATTAACTAGATTATACAAAAAGATGAAGGACTAAAGAAGGTGCTGGCAGGGGGATTTTCCTTCATCATCAACAAGAACTTTGTCACCATCAACATCGCCACTCAATACACGGACGAGACAGGAAACACTCCCTTCTACATCAGCAGAGACATTCCAATGTTTTTAGCAATGGGATGGAGTACCAGGTGATTTTTCTTCATAGAAAATGAATCGGTATTTGTACTCAAAGAAAATTGTTAAGATTTTAAAGTAATCTGAAAAATAAGTAAAACAAATTTTAAAGTAAAAAAATCAATTTTATACTTTACATAGGTTGTGAGACAAGTTTTCTTCAAATAATTATTAATTTGTTATGTCATGATAGTGCCATTTTTATATTTCTACATATACTTGCTACCAAGTTCTGAATATTACCGATAATCTTATTGAAAACTTATTATCTAAAAACCATCTTTTCTTATCTTATATATATAAGATAAGAAAAGATATAAGATATATATATATATATATATATATATATATATATATATATATATTTGTATATTTTGGTAGCAGTCTTTCCTGTAGACATATATTATTAAATATGACCGAAAAAGTAAGATTAATAATTTTAACACGAATTTTCTCAATCTTTCGTACATTATGCTTCACTGTTGGAGGTAAATCAAAAATCACTTCTCCAAAATTCATTTTTATTTCTAGTCTGACGCGACACGGGCGCGTTTCGTAAAACTTATTACATTTTCAAAGACTTCACAAATACACAACTGATTAGAACTTGCGTTTCCCTGATTTTATATCTACATTTGAGTGAGGGGGGAAGGGTGATGTGGCATTACATTTGAGTGAGGTGGGAAGGATGATGTGGCATTAACACAAGACAGAACACTAGAGGATATTAATAGGGTATTAAAAGTATCAACACAAGACAGAACAGAAACAATGGGTATTGAATAGAAGTGTTTGTAGAAAGCCTATTGGTCCATATTTCTTGATGCTTCTATATTGGAGCGGAGTCTTGAGGTGGGTAGAATATAGTTGTGCAATAATTGGCTGTTGATTGCTGGTGTTGACTTCTTGATGTGTAGTGCCTCGCAAACGTCAAGCCGCCTGCTATCGCTGTATCTATCGATGATTTCTGTGTTGTTTACTAGGATTTCTCTGGCGATGGTTTGGTTATGGGAAGAGATTATATGTTCCTTAATGGAGCCCTGTTGTTTATGCATCGTTAAACGCCTAGAAAGAGATGTTGTTGTCTTGCCTATATACTGGGTTTTTGGAGCTTACAGTCCCCAAGTGGGCATTTGAAGGCATAGACGACGTTAGTCTCTTTTAAAGCGTTCTGTTTCGTGTCTGGAGAGTTTCTCATGAGTAGGCTGGCCGTTTTTCTGGTTTTATAGTAAATCGTCAGTTGTATCCTCTGATTTTTGTCTGTAGGGATAACGTTTCTATTAACAATATCTTTCAGGACCCTTTCCTCCGTTTTATGAGCTGTGGAAAAGAAGTTCCTGTAAAATAGTCTAATAGGGGGTATAGGTGTTGTGTTAGTTGTCTCTTCAGAGGTTGCATGGCTTTTCACTTTCCTTCTTATGATGTCTTCGATGAAACCATTGGAGAAGCCGTTATTGACTAGAACCTGCCTTACCCTACAGAGTTCTTCGTCGACTTGCTTCCATTCTGAGCTGTGGCTGAGAGCACGGTCGACGTATGCGTTAACAACACTCCTCTTGTACCTGTCGGGGCAGTCGCTGTTGGCATTTAGGCACATTCCTATGTTTGTTTCCTTAGTGTAGACTGCAGTGTGGAAACCTCCGCCCTTTTCCATGACTGTTACATCTAGAAAAGGCAGCTTCCCATCCTTTTCCGTCTCGTAAGTGAAACGCAGCACGGAACTCTGCTCAAATGCCTCCTTCAGCTCCTGCAGATGTCTGACATCAGGTACCTGTGTAAAAATGTCGTCAACATACCTGCAGTATATGGCCGGTTTCAAGTTCATGTCGACTAAGACTTTTTGCTCGATGGTACCCATGTAGAAGTTTGCAAACAGGACACCTAGGGGAGAACCCATGGCGACCCCATCTACTTGCTTATACATGTGCCCATCCGGGCTCAAGAAGGGTGCCTCTTTAGTACAAGCTTGGAGTAGTTTCCTCAGAATACTTTCTGGCATGTCAAGAGGAGTACAGGCTGGATCACGATACACTCTGTCGGCTATCATTCCGATTGTCTCGTCCACAGGTACGTTGATAAACAGCGATTCTACGTCCAACGAGGCTCTTATCCCTGTGGCCCGTGTGCCCCGCAGTAAGTCCACAAATTCCTTTGGGGACTTCAGGCTGAAGGCGCAAGGAACATAAGGAGTCAGCAGGCCGTTGAGTCGCTTCGCCAGTCTGTACGTGGGTGTGGGTATCTGGCTAATGATTGGCCGAAGTGGGTTTCCAGGCTTGTGCGTCTTGACATTTCCATACGCATATCCAGGTTTATATTCCCCAATGATCTTTGGCAGGTGGAGTCCGGATTTCTTGGCGTTCACAGTTTCGATCAGTTTGTTGACCTTTGCTTTTAATTCGGCTGTAGTGTCCTTCGTTACCCTTTGGAACTTAGTTTGGTCAGAGAGTATGATGTTCATTTTCGCCAGATATTCGTCTTTTTTAAGAATGACATATATTGGCGACTTGTCACCTCTCCTGACAACTATCTCCTTGTTCTCACGAAGGCTTTTAGCTGCCGCTTTAAGCTCGGGGGACAGTATGGTGCTTCTGTAGTTGCCTCGATTCTTTCCTCCTTCTGCAATAAGTTCTGCTTGTAAGGTATCTTTGGTAGTGACCTTCTTTTGTGTCTCGAGGTCGAATATGTCGTCCAACAGAATTTCCAACTCTACTTTCCGGGCCATTTCACTCGGTCTGGACATAACATGACAGTTTATGCCCAGATTTAGGAGAGTGACTTGGTCCTCAGTGAGGTTAATTCCTGCAAGGTTCAGGAAGCCATCTCTTGGTCGTGGAATTGCCATAGGTCCTCCATATAATGTTGTTAGTTTCTTGATAATCCTTGTTTCAGTGCTGAGGTGATGTTGGTCTGTGAGGATGTCGAGGTGTTGTTCAATGCGGGTACGGATACTATCAAGAACTAACAACATTATATGGAGGACCTATGGCAATTCCACGACCAAGAGATGGCTTCCTGAACCTTGCTGGAATTAACCTCACTGAGGACCAAGTCACTCTCCTAAATCTGGGCATAAACTGTCATGTTATGTCCAGACCGAGTGAAATGGCCCGGAAAGTAGAGTTGGAAATTCTGTTGGACGACATATTCGACCTCGAGACACAAAAGAAGGTCACTACCAAAGATACCTTACAAGCAGAACTTATTGCAGAAGGAGGAAAGAATCGAGGCAACTACAGAAGCACCATACTGTCCCCCGAGCTTAAAGCGGCAGCTAAAAGCCTTCGTGAGAACAAGGAGATAGTTGTCAGGAGAGGTGACAAGTCGCCAATATATGTCATTCTTAAAAAAGACGAATATCTGGCGAAAATGAACATCATACTCTCTGACCAAACTAAGTTCCAAAGGGTAACGAAGGACACTACAGCCGAATTAAAAGCAAAGGTCAACAAACTGATCGAAACTGTGAACGCCAAGAAATCCGGACTCCACCTGCCAAAGATCATTGTGGAATATAAACCTGGATATGCGTATGGAAATGTCAAGACGCACAAGCCTGGAAACCCACTTCGGCCAATCATTAGCCAGATACCCACACCCACGTACAGACTGGCGAAGCGACTCAACGGCCTGCTGACTCCTTATGTTCCTTGCGCCTTCAGCCTGAAGTCTCCAAAGGAATTTGTGGACTTACTGCGGGGCACACGGGCCACAGGGATAAGAGCCTCGTTGGACGTAGAATCGCTGTTTACCAACGTACCTGTGGACGAGACAATCGGAATGATAGCCGACAGAGTGTATCGTGATCCAGCCTGTACTCCTCTTGACATGCCAGAAAGTATTCTGAGGAAACTACTCCAAGCTTGTACTAAAGAGGCACCCTTCTTGAGCCCGGATGGGCACATGTATAAGCAAGTAGATGGGGTCGCCATGGGTTCTCCCCTAGGTGTCCTGTTTGCAAACTTCTACATGGGTACCATCAAGCAAAAAGTCTTAGTCGACATGAACTTGAAACCGGCCATATACTGCAGGTATGTTGACGACATTTTTACACAGGTACCTGATGTCAGACATCTGCAGGAGCTGAAGGAGGCATTTGAGCAGAGTTCCGTGCTGCGTTTCACTTACGAGACGGAAAAGGATGGGAAGCTGCCTTTTCTAGATGTAACAGTCATGGAAAAGGGCGGAGGTTTCCACACTGCAGTCTACACTAAGGAAACAAACATAGGAATGTGCCTAAATGCCAACAGCGACTGCCCCGACAGGTACAAGAGGAGTGTTGTTAACGCATACGTCGACCGTGCTCTCAGCCACAGCTCAGAATGGAAGCAAGTCGACGAAGAACTCTGTAGGGTAAGGCAGGTTCTAGTCAATAACGGCTTCTCCAATGGTTTCATCGAAGACATCATAAGAAGGTAAGTGAAAAGCCATGCAACCTCTGAAGAGACAACTAACACAACACCTATACCCCCTATTAGACTATTTTACAGGAACTTCTTTTCCACAGCTCATAAAACGGAGGAAAGGGTCCTGAAAGATATTGTTAATAGAAACGTTATCCCTACAGACAAAAATCAGAGGATACAACTGACGATTTACTATAAAACCAGAAAAACGGCCAGCCTACTCATGAGAAACTCTCCAGACACAAAACAGAACGCTTTAAAAGAGACTAACGTCGTCTATGCCTTCAAATGCCCACTTGGGGACTGTAAGCTCCAAAAAACCCAGTATATAGGCAAGACAACAACATCTCTTTCTAGGCGTTTAACGATGCATAAGCAACAGGGCTCCATTAAGGAACATATAATCTCTTCCCATAACCAAACCATCGCCAGAGAAATCCTAGTAAACAACACAGAAATCATCGATAGATACAGCGATAGCAGGCGGCTTGACGTTTGCGAGGCACTACACATCAAGAAGTCAACACCAGCAATCAACAGCCAATTATTGCACAACTATATTCTACCCACCTCAAGACTCCGCTCCAATATAGAAGCATCAAGAAATATGG